TCATAACCACATATTGTTGACAAAGGTTAAGGAAGCCAGCACACGCTCCTGGTAGAATGTGGGATGAGACTGTTGTTCAACTCTGCCAGACCTGGTAACTTAGTGACACTGCCGTGAAACAGGCCCAAACTGCCCCATTGGCACAAGTTACCTGGGCAAATGAGGCCCAGGTTCAGCCACATCTATTAGACAATTTGAAGTGGCTTTAGAAGTGGCCTGGCAGGTCAGCTAAAGGGGAGGATGTCTTCTTTTTCTGTATGTTCATGAATGCCTGATCAGTTTCTTCCTCCACAGGAAGAGAACAGGCCGGTAGGTGGGTTTTCTCTTCGTGGGTCCCTTGTGTCTGCTCTGGAGGATAATGGTGTTCCTACTGGTAAGGTGCAACTTCAGTTCTGGCTTTAAAGATCTCTGGGGCCTCCATCTGCATGCATTAACACCCCTTAGGGGGCAGGGTAGGGCGCACCTGAGCTCTGAGAATCAAGTGGGCCTTTCCTTAATGAGCCAGCAATGTGATTCTTAAAGTCCACTTTAAAAACACAGGGAAATGCTATATGGGATGGTCTTGAGGTTTAAGAATACAACTGAATATTCCTTATTTATATTTTCTTAGTTTCTATGCTGATGGCCCATAATCTTCCACCTAAGTTACAGCTAAGGCTACAGTGTTTTCATGACATGCTTTCATTTTCTATTCTATCTTACAATTCCCGGCTATAGTAGGAAGGTAGTATCACTTCTACCTTATGGATGTAGAAATTGAGGCTCAAAATCAATTCAAAGCAAACATCAAATTCTGTGCCTCTTTTTACATAAATTGGATTGATATGAACGAAATTGTAGTTCGATGGGTAGCACAGGGGTGGGCAAGCAAGCAAGCTGCAAATGTCCAGAATAACCACTGGTAGGCCTTATGGCTGTAGGGAGTGGAAATACTCCAGTGGTTTTTCTTATTCAATGCTTAGCTTCAAGCTGGAAGCTGTCATGGTTATTCAATCCTTTTTCCTCCTGTGTAGGAGTCAAAGGGAATGTCCAAGGAAATCTCTTCAAAGTGATTACGAAGGACGACACACACTATTATATCCAGGCCAGCAGCAAGGCTGAGAGAGCAGAGTGGATTGAAGCTATCAAGAAGCTAACATGACCTAAGGGAACAGGACCAGGGCCCTCATTCTTATCAACTGATACAGATGGGATTTCGTGGAGAACTGGAGTACAAGACAGACATTGGACTTTGATATGGCTCAGTGGTGGAGGACCTGCTGGGCAATCCTGAGGCCCCAGGTTCAATCCTTGGATTAGACTTTAACATTGTCCATTTTGTACTGCTTTGGAGTGAGACAGCTCAAGATAGTTCCTCAGATCACAGTGGTGTCACAATTTACTTCTGTCTTCTGACCACCAACCTGAAAAGCTGGAATGACTGTTAGGTGGCATCATCTTGACTTTGACTCTTCAGGAAAGAAATCTGTGTCTTGCCAGGTGGTGACGGCACATACCTTTAATTCCAGCACTCAGGAGGCAGACAGGTGGATCTCTGAGTTCAAGGCCAGCCTGGTCTAGAGTTTCAGGACAGTCAGGGCTACACAGAGAAACTCTGTCTTGAGAAACCATATGTATTCATGCACACACATCTGTGTCTTTGGGGACCATAGTATCTCTTTGTTGTAACACTAATTTGGGCTCTGCTATATTACTCTAGTCTCAAGACAGCTCTGAGTGGTTTCAACAATTCACATCTCTGGAATTTAAATAAAGACTGGTATTTGTCTCTAGTTCTTGTAGTTTTTTGGTCCTCACATGTTTAGTCCCTGTAAGGCCTATGTATTACAAAAACTGGTTATGGGAAGACCTCAAGTGACCTGTCACTAGGACATATCTCACTTTAAAGTGGGGATGCTGGCAAACTTTTAACTGTTCAGAAGATAGTTTGCTTTGCAGAGCAAGACAGCAAATATCACAAATTGCAGAGATCATAGATATTCCTGAAATTTGTTACCGATATTTTAAAAAAGGCAGAAATACAGCTTTTCTATATAAAATGAACATTTAGAAAGATGTGGAACAGACCTCTAAACGACAGATACAAATGGCAAAAGTTAAACCAAGGGCTAAGACTGGTCTAAAAATGAACATTAACTGAAATAAGTAAAAAACTTCCCCATTTGGAAGGTTGACCTAAAGTGAAAAGTCTGTATCATACAGTGTTTTTATAAATATTTTTATTAAATTTATACAGTGATCTGGCACAAGGTATGGCCAGCATTCTTGCCAAGGACAATGGCATGGACTTTGATAAAATACATAACTTACATTTATGGGGAATGGATATTTCTAAATTGCCTAAGTAAAAACTTCTCTTAAAATAGATTTCCTCTTAATGTCTGGAATACCAGACCCTGAATAGTCAGGAATCCCAAGAGCACATTTGTTTCCCTTTATCCTTACTTTGTAAGAGACTGTCTTTCCAGGCACCATTTCTTCTGTTTGGCATCTTTCCAGGTTTAATGTGCCTAGAATTACTATTAGGACATTGATAGGTGCTTATCTGAGTTAAGCTGTATTTGGTTTGATAGCTTCCTGCTTCCAAACTGACACAGCCATACCTCCCATGGCCAAGGATGAGACAAGGATTCTCAAGGGTTCTAAAGCAGGTATCGTCAGCTTCAGTCAAAGCAGTGAAGCTGGTAAGGTACTAGAACAATTTCATCCCCACTCACATCAAACTAGAACACAAATGGCTGGTGTATGCAGCTGAATAGTGAATGGTAACTTATGCTCAGTGGCAGAGACTGGCAGGCACATTTCTGCAGTTCATGAAGAAATTGATCTCTAAAAACAAAAATTTAAACACCCCAAAACTTGAACATATTCATGAAAATTGGTATGTTTCACTATAAAACCGATATAAAAGCAGTTTCAATGTTTAATTTCTTTTGGGTCAGTTTCAACCAACTAATATAGGAAACAAAATATTGTTCATTTGGTTGTAAGGATTAATGATTGTAATTAAAGGTAGAAGGAAAGCAGAACTGTTAGCGTTTATGAAAAGGCTTTGGTGGGAAAACCAAGATATAGTAAGCTGTCCTATTTGTTGTCTATTCTGTTCAGTCTTCCATGGCCAGATGAGTAATTTGGGTCTCATGTATCTGTGTTCTCTTCCCCACAATGTTAGTGAAGGACTGATCTTTAACCTGGTTAAGGTCACCATTTTACACAACTGTAGACCTATGAAAAAAGCCCAGATGGGATAAAAATCATCATGGAAGCCTGGCTATTTTAAATTTTTTAGTTTTGAGGCAGGGTTTCTCTGTGTAGTCTGTAGTTCATGAAGAAATTGATCTCTAGAACTTGCTACAAATTGTTCTAGAACTTGCTCTGTAGACCAGGCTGATCTAGTATATGACACCATGCCTGGCTTAAATTTTGTTTTCTTAAATATAAAAATTTTAAGTAAACAATTATTAGGAAAAGGGCACTTGTTATATTTCATAATGCATTTTTTTCTTCTGTTGTAATAAGGATTGATCCCAGGGCCTTGACATGCTAGGCTAACTCAACTATATGATTAAATCCTTGGAGCAGTAGCCCAAACTATTCTAATTCGTGGTACTCCTATATCTTGGAACAGGTGGGATTATAGTTGCCAATGAAGCTTTAGTAATATACCTCCACGCTTTGCTTTGTCTCACTATGTAGTCTTGGATGGCCTGTAACTTGATATAGACCAGCTAGGCCCTCAACTCAGTGATCTACCTGTCTCTGTCTCTGCTGGGATTAAAGACATACACTACCATACCTGGCCCTAAACTTGTTTCTTGATGCTTTTAAACCAGTTGTTCTCAACCTATGGGTTGGGATCCCTTTGGGGGTGGTGGTGTTTGAACAACCCTTGCCTAAGATTAAAAAACCAAAGATATTTTCATTATGATTCTTAACAGTAGCAAAATTAAGTCATGAAGTAGCAATGAAAATAATACCAGCAACACGGCATGCCGATTGGAAATGGGTCACCTGAGGTTAGACCATTAGATTAAAAAAGCTAATAAGAAGGGGACAAACTTTCATAAGTGGCAAAGTATCTCCCCAACACTAACTTTCAATCTTTTTGAGATACAGTTCTTGCAATGGTTTCCCAGACTGATCAATTATTCTGGGCTCAAGGAATCTTTCCACCTCAGCTTTCCAAGTATTATAGCCATAAGCATATGCTACCATACCCAACTCTAGAACCCTTACTATTCAGTCTAGTACTGAAATGACTAGGTTTTTAAGTTTGCCTACAGATAATAAATAGTATAAGTATCCTAAGGTAAACATGCCAAACTAAATGATTTTCTATTATTTGACTCCTGCAGCTCTAATTTCATATATGTTACTAGTCTGTGAAGGTAAAAATAGGAACATTAAAAAAAGGTCAGAGGCTCAGAGGTTAACAGCACTGGTTGCTCTTCCAGAGGTCCTGAGTTTAATTCCCAGCAACCACATGATGGCTCACAACCATTTGTAATGAGATCTAGTGCTCTCTTCTGGTCTGCAGGGATACATACATGCAGCCAGAACAATATTATTTAAAAAAAAATTGTGTTTAATCTAAAGATCTAAGTAGCACCTACCAGATAAAGAGGAAAATGTCCCCTTCAGTTGAGTGATGCTGCTAAAAGTTAACTACATCAAAGCAGCAGCACTTTATAAAATTTAAGGTAAGTAGTTTAGTATACACCAAAGGGACCAAGTGTGATGACTTCTCTCATTCAAGTTGTCATTGGTCTCCAACAGGTTAGCAGGCACATAAATCCTTTAATTAAATTTCAAGGCCTTTCTCTACCTGGACCAAATTCGTTATGGTTACATTTACAATTGCTTGCCTAAACTTTCCTTTTGAAAGTCTGTTACTCAAAGGTCACTTGATTACTTACCCTTTTACTTCTAACATAGAAAGATAATTAGGGTCTGTGCATTCGGATTGGGTTTAACTAGTGACAAGAAGGAAGAAGCCTAAGTTAAATATCCCAGATATTTATTTGATGTTTGCTTGAATACATTTTATATAGAAAGGTTGGGACTGTGTGTTAGGTGCCCCTGGTAAATCTCATGGAGGCATTGAACCATAAGAGTGCCAATCCATGAACATCAGAAATGGAAACCAAAAGCCCAACTTTAGGACTGCTCTTTAAGGTTTGTCTCTGGTCAAATCAAGCCACTCCAAGCTTGAGGTGTTAGAGCTTCTGTGTGACAACACAGCTGACATGAAGGAGGGCACTTAGATTCTGGTTTGCTGAATACTTAAATACTTGGAAATAAAAATATTCAACTTTGAAGTTTTCAATACTGGAAAACTTTCAAGTCTAGGGTTTACAACCAGGAAGGGCTGCTTCGTATTCCTTAAACTGGACTGTTTCCACAAGGCTAATCCTCAGCTTTGGCTTCCATCTCTTCTGTATCATCATCTCCATCCACTTCCGCATTCTCTCTCTCCAGCCGCTCCATCTGCCTTGTAAGTTCAGTCTCATCTGTGTCTGTGACCACTTTGGGCTGTGGAAGAGGCATAATTTTAAAATGAAATAAAGGGCAGAAAAAATTGGATTTCAATAGTATTACCGGCCAGTATTTAAAATTTAACTTTAAAAGTACTTTCATTTCTAATAATTCAGTCATACCTAGGCTGATGTAACAGTGAATAAGTTCTATTAGCTGAAAGTTAAAACAAAGTACAAGACAGTTCAAGGAAATAGTGCACACTACAGTGGAACAATACTTCTGCCATTACTAAACAGAAAACATGAATTCAGTGATCACAACAGAGGACCACCAATGTTCTGCTTTGGCTTTTTTTTTGGGGGGGGGGGGTTTCTCTGTGGCTTTGGAGGCTGTCCTGAGGCTCGCTCTATAGACCAGGCTGGCTTTGAACTCAAGAGATCCACCTGTCTCTGCCTCCTGAGTGCTGGGATTAAAGGCGTGCACCACCAACGCACAGCCACTGTCCTGTTTTTTTAAAAATGGATATTCTGGGCTCAAGATTCAGAGAATGAACTGTTCTAATACACACAGACATACAGCCTTTGGAAATTAGGTTCTGTTTATATTGAGATGAGGGAAAGACAGATTACTGTTTGAGATAGGCCTCCTTATGTAGGACAAGGCAGTCCTCCTGCCTCTGCCTCCCAGTGCTGAGATTAGGTTGCTGTACTATGCCCAGAAAAATTTTTATTGTCTTTTTCTTCCTGAGGGGAAAAACCCTAACACCACTGGCCCAAATGTCTATCTCACAATATGACAGTCTAATGCTAATAGTTCTTATTACGAACAAAACCCCTTTAGGAATACTCAGAATTAATGGTTACTTTACACTCAATAATTTTTTATTTCCAACTATATCTGACTGGGCAGGTAGCCTAGGTATGTTGACAAGGTTGGTTCTGAACTTTAGGCAATTATCCTGACCTCAATTTCCCAAGTGCTGAGATTATAGGCAGGAATCATCATATTCAATTAATTAATCTGATACCCCACCACCACCTTATATGTGTGTGTGTATGCATGCCATAGTGTGTTTTTGAAGTTGAGAAGACAACATTTGAGAGTCAGTTTTCTCTTTCTAACGTACGGGTCCTAGAGACCAAATTTAGTTCATCAGGTTTGGCAACAAGAGCTTTTTACCTACTGAACAGTTCTGCTGGCCCCACACCTCACATCCTAAACAGCACTAAGAGGTCGCAAAGGTAGCTAGGTAGATGCAGTACTTTCTGCACAAGTATGAAGACTCAAACCCAACAGCCACACAAAAGTTGGACACAATGGTATGTATCTGTAACCTAGAGCCAGGAGAGTGAAGACAGGTGACTCTTGAGCTTCAGGATTAGTGAGTCACAAAACAAGACAAGGATATCTGACACTGGCATCTGGCCTTCACATATGCACCCATGGGTCCAAATACCTCAAAAGGATAATTAAAATAAATAGGTCACCCGGAGTTCAAAGTCAGCCTTGACTACAGTGAGCTGGAGTCCAACCTGGACTACATGGGACCCTGTATCAAAAACAAAACAAAAGCATTAAGAACAAAGTAAAAACTAAGACAATGAATGATCTCACCTCCATCTGAACATTGAACACACCCCTCTTCTCCTCAATCTTCTCTTTGATGACTGCCATAGCCTGATTGAGAACAGAGAGGCCTTCTGTTCTCTCTAGTGTCGTTGTTGTCATCACATACCTGGGTGGAGCTATTAGGTTAATCTAAAGGAGAAAGAAAAAATAAAGCTATGAATATACTTAACCAGAATATTCAAGAATTGTTTAATTAATTTGCTGTATGAAGGCATCATTTCAACTTGCCTCCCAGTCCTCCATATCAGTTTATTAATACAGTCTCTTAGTTTCTTTTCTCATCGAGCTGATACAAATACTCTAACAAAAGCAATTTATGGGAGAAAGGACTTATTATTTTAGCTCACAATTCAAGACACAGTCCATCAAGGTGGAATGTCAAATAGTGGGAATCTGAAGCAGCCATGCTATGACTGCAGTCAGAAGACAGACATGAATGCATGCAAACAGCTCCTCAGTTCCCTCTCCATTTGCATGGGGCTGAGGGTGGGTAGGGGGTGAACCTCACCTAACTTAATAAGATAATCCTGCACAGACATGCCCAGGCGGACTCTAAATCTGTCAAGCTGTAAACTAACACCAACCATCATATACAGCAACAGACAATTGATACAATAATCTGATCCCATTCATATAAACCACTGTTAATACTGAATAGGAAATTTTAACTACTGTCATCAGAATAACAGGTAAGTGGAGTTGCAGGCACCAGGCATGGTACACACATACAGGCAAACACATGCATAAAGTAAAAATAATAAATATTTTCTCCCCCTTTCAAGACAAGGCCTCACACTTTGCAGACCAGGCTAACCTTGAACTCACAGGGATATGCCTGCTTCTGCTTCCCAAGGACTGGGATTAAAGGTATATGCCACCATGCCTGGCAATAAATAAATTAAAAAAAAGTAAAAGGCTAATTATTTCTAAATTGAAAGAAATCCTTCTAAAAATTTCTGAGTAATGACTATCCAATTAGGCAAGCTTCTTCAAAGCTGAATGTATACTGTTCAGATGTTACCCTTCTCAAGGTGATATCAATGTTTTGGGTACTGCAACTCCTTACTGTAAAGATTTAATATTGCTGGTCCACTCACAATAGGAACCCTTTCCCCATTCACTGTGATGGTAGCATCAACAAAAAGCCACAGCTGTGCCAGGTAGTGGTGGTTCACACCTTTAATCCAACACTCAGGAGGCAGAGGCAGAGGCAGATGGACGGATCTGCGAGTTCGAGGCCAGTTTGGTCTACAAAGAAAAACCCTGTCTTGAAAAACAAAAAACAAAGAAAAAGCCACAGTTGCAAACAACCCCCCAGAAATATCATGAAGAGACTACTCAACTCTGAGAGGGGAGGGGAAAAAGATTTTTAAAATGAGACACGACAGGTTTTTGCCATTCATTTATTTAAATTATGTATCTGCATCTGACGTGTGTGTATGGTATATGGGTACCTGAGGTATCTATCATATTCCTTCCCTAGGGCTGGAACTCAATTCAGATCTTCTGCAAGAGCAGTATCTCTTAACCTCTGAGGTAGCTCTTCAATCCCCATAATACCTCTTTTTAGGTGTTGGGAATTAATCTCTGGGCACTGAATATGCCAGGCAAGCAATTTTACCACTGAGCTGTAATTTCCTACCCAACATGTGCAAAAAGATTTGAAATATAACTCAGTGGCCTTGGGTTCAACTGCCAGCACATGGGTCAGCCACAGGTTCTGATGAGCAGGGTGGGAGAAAATGCGTAACTTACCTTGATGGGCATGGTTTCTGTAGAACAATTCAAACCTGCTCTCAGGGCTTCCTTTACAGCATCAATTCCTTCATAACCATAGCAGGCTACTTCAATATCTAAAATTACAAAAGTCAAAAGTTGGCACCAGAAATAACAATAAGGAAAGATAAAAGAAACAGAGATACTGAAGTCATACCAGTATAAATATAACATTATCCTCAATTAGAAATATATTTTCACAGCTGGAAATATCCAACTATAGCTATGCATGTGTCCACACCCTTGTGATCTCAGCATAGGGAAACTGAGGCAGGACGATTTTTAGAAAAGACAAAGATATTTATCAAACACTGTGACAGCAAAATATCTAGAGCTATTTGGAAACTGCACCCATTTGACCCAGCCAATCTTTTACTGCACTTAATCATCTTGTGTGTATACAAGCTTGTGGAGATCAAAGAGGACAACACGTTGAGAGTGGCTCTCTCTGCACTACACAGGTCCTGGGTTTCAATGCAGGTTGTCACCTATGTTGGCAAGTGGCTTTACCTGCCAAGCCATCTTGCCAGCCCTGACCCAGCAAATCTTTTAGAATACCTGTATAGACAGGTAAGTTTATATTTTTGTAATTGTGAAAAATTAATAAAATCTATCTGTATTTTTTTTTTTGAGCTGAGGACCAAACTCAGGGCCGTAAGCACTCTACCACTGAACTAAATCCCCAAACCCATGTATGTTTCCTAAGAGGAAATGTTAACATTTATGCATTTTTACCAGGGAGTGAACTCAGGGCTTCACAAATGCTAAGAATGTGGTCCACCCTGATTTTTATACCTCTACCCCTTTGATACAGTTCCTCATGTTGTTGTGACCCCAACCATAAAATTTTGTTACTATTTCATAACTGTAATTTTGATACTGTTATGAATTATAAACATCTGATATACAGGTTATCTGTTAGTCAACTCCCATGAAAAGGTCATTCACCCCCCCAAAAGGGTCAAGACCCACAGGTTGACACAAGACCTTGTAAAGTATCTATACAGGAAGAATGTCTGAAAATATTCCAGATGACTGACATAGGATCAATATAGCAGCATATCAGGCTATCATGTCCTGTTGAAATACTTTAAATTGTATACTAAGGCAAAATAATAACTCTTTTGTTAAAAGGCTAAATTAAGGTTAATTGAACTTCCAGGACTATTTTCATTTGTGCCAATATATTTCATGCTTTTGGAGAAGTAATTTTTTTGGCTAGGGGCATGAGACTATGGTGGAATACTTACCCAGCATGTATGAAGCCCTGGTTTGATTCTAAGAGCAAAAACAAAACCCCGCAGCCATCAATAAACAAACATCTACCCTTGAAACAACAACAAGAACTCCACCAAACTCAAACTAAAATTCAAGACTGTTGTTACAAAAAATTTAGAAAAATTTATGCTTGTTTGTAGCAACAAATATTTTGGTAAGTCTCATTATTTAACAGTTGTTTAAGCACAAACAATATTTAGAAAGTCATTTAGAAGCCATTTACCTGCTCGAATTTTGACAGCTTGTGGTGTCAAACGTCTATTGATATTGTTAATGAGTACTTCTCGTTCATTTTCATTCAAATCTAAACTATCCAAGATAGATGGGTCCCTGAGAAAAACAAAGAAACAAGGATGTAACGGTGACATTACTGATAACTGTGACACCAAACACATGACCACAAAATAATACAAATAATAATAAGGCAAGCGTTTCAGCATGGAAGTTGAAATCTTGATTTTTGCAGTTTTAACTATGTTTTCTTTTTTCTTTCCAAAGGTGTAAATTCAGGATGAAACAAGTGTCTCACAGAACTGCTGTTATTAAATAAAGCAATGTACTTATTATATGATGAACAGAAAACAACTGATTTTCAAAACAAAATCTGGCTAAAATAAGCAATTTAATATCTTTTAATGTGAATCTGACATTCTATTATAATTAACTCAAGCATTTTCCCGCACTTAGAACTCTACTTCAAGGACTTAGAAAGAATCTAGTTTGGAAAGAAAACATCTAAGCAGTGGAAGAGGAACCGCCAGTTAGTGAGGTTAGGAGGACTCCATGCAAAAACTAGCATTTCATCCGATCCTCCCAAGGGTCTGAGGCCTCGATCAGGGAAGGGCTTAGCTAACACTGGCATGTAACTGGATAAATAGAAAAGAGAAAGAATAATCAAAAGAGAGCTGGGTGGCGGCGGCACATGCCTTTAATCCCAGCACTCCTGCCCTGAATACCCTCCTCTTCCAAGGTAATTAAAAGAACAGCAGACCCTAAAAAGCAGAGGAAGAACATTACAAAAAGTTATAATATGCAAAAAAGGACTAACATGAGCAAGCATCCAAACTAACATGGGGTCTCAATGAAAAGTAACAGAATCGGCATATCGGGGACTTTTCATTTAGCTTGCACAGAATAACAGGACAAACTGACAGAGATATCTACAATGTCACATGATGAAAAAAATCAGACACAGACTGCCATTTACAATAAATAAATATATAAAGCTTTTGACTTCATCAATAAACAGGGACATACAAATTATGGCAAAAAGAAAAAAAATCTGACACATATACCAAATGGTAGTAAAGAGGAGGGAAAACAGCTATATCTACCTACACAGTTGCTAGGGGAATATAAACCATATAACCAATTTGGAGTGTAATTTGGTAAAACCAAATAGATCAACCACATGATGGCTCACAACTATCCATGAGATCTGGTGCACTCTTCTGGCTTGCAGGCATACAAGCAGACAGAACACTTACTGATTCTTTTTCATATAGAAAAGTTTAGATTTGTGATTCCTTATAAGATCACCTTTCAAGATATGTAATAAAGTAACTGCCCTTTTGTTGCAACTGCAAAATGCAGCCTATCAGTAAAAGAACACTGTGCTTGCTCATATGGTTTATCTACAACAAGTTGCTTGGGTATGAATATATGTGAGTTCGTGGGATAATTTTTTTTCACCTGTAATACATAAATGTTTAATCATGTGAGGGAGATCATTCTCTTGAGAAATAGAATGCAACTGTTTTGACTCTTGTACTGCCTGGAAGACTCTGTTGGGGTATAAAAGTTGTGAAAAAAATATGAGTAAGTGAGAGAGGAGAGAGAGGAGAGAGACGGGGGAGAGAGAGAGAGTATAAAGAAGAAAATTAGGAAATTATAAAGAGAGTTTGTGAGTGTTTTTTCTCCTTAACTCCTTCAGATGAAAAAGTTTAGCCTTGCCAACTCCGTGGATTCCTGTCAAAGCCCTGCGCTGCTGGAGCCTGGCCTCCCAGACATCAGTAAAAACAAGTTTGGAAACATAAGAATTTAAGAAGAAATACAACTGAGTATAAAGAACAGAATGTATGAACTACAGGTTTTTAAGGCAAAGTAAACCTAATTAAAAAGGTTCATTCTGAGGCCACACGGAAGGTAAGTTAATGTGGGAGGGGATGAAGGTCCAAGTAACTGCAGTTAGCAAGAGGCTGTACTATTTTGGATGAGACATCCACATTGGTCCTGCCACCATCCAATGACCCAATGACTAAGAAAGGAAATTTACAAGTAGTGTGAGATGAAACCAAGTAAACACATCACAGGTCTTTTTTTTTTGGGGGGGGGGGTGGTTCAAGGCAGGGTTTCTCTGTGGCTTTGGAGGCTGTCTGGAACTAGCTCTTGTAGACCAGGCTGGTCTCAAATTCAGAGATCACAGCCCCCCCTTTTTTTGTTTTTATGAGACAGGGTTTCTCTGTATTGTTTTGGAGGCTGTCGGTCCAGCCCAGCCTCGAACTAAGAGATCCGCCTGCCTCTGCCTCCCGAGTGCTGGGATTAAAGGCGTGCGCCACCACCGCCCGGCTATCACAGGCCTTTTATACTGAAATATTTTTAAAACTAAATATGACAAGGACCTAATATATGGATATTGTATGACTAGCTAAGCAGCCTGTGTGTTAATACTTAGCAGATGAGACATAAAGTCAGAATCAAGGTGTTCTTACGAGACTGCATGCTTAAAGGCATCATAAGCACCATATCCAGGTTTCTTGTACTTGTCATCAAAGACCCAGGCAGTTCTCTGGAACAGGCTTTCCAGTTGCTCATCCTTGGTATATTCTAATACTTCAGCAACATGGCGAAGAATGCTATAAACCTAGATACAAAATGAAGAACTCAGTAATTTGAAAATTAGAGAGCCACAAAGAAAAAGCTTGTCATACTTCAGTAGAAGACGTAATTTTACTTCAATAACTCCTGAACAGTAACACCTCTAACTACAAGTTCAGTTCTTTTTCCATAAGGAAACATTCACCACGTCATAATAATTAACTGACATGGATATAACAAGTAGAAATATGTGACACATTCAAACAAAGTAACATCTCTGAATTTGTTTCACTTGTAACAAGGAACTTAGTATCTTTCCTTACCAAGAGAGCTCTTGCATATTATCAAGCATATAGAAAACCACACTATTATAAGGAGAAAACTGTTATGAGAGCATAGAACTAGTTGAAACTCCCTAAGCTAGCAAGATGGCTCAGTGAGTAGGTAAATGTTAAGAGGGATGACCAGAGTCCAATCCCCAGAACGCACATGATAGAAGGAGAAACTTGTTTGGAAATACACACACACCAAAAACAAACAAACAAGTGTAATAAAAAAGCTGTTTCACATTTCACATCAAAAGCAACACAAGGGAGAAAGGGTTTATTTGGCTTATAACACCAGGTTACAGTTCAGGCAGGGAAGCGAGAGGCAGAAGTATGAGAAAAATGGTCACATCAGCAGTCAACAATAGAGACCAGCTTGCCCTCTGTGCCAAGATCCCCTGGTCAGGAAATGATCCCACTCACAAGTAAGATGGATCTTCCCACATGAATTAACCTTAACCAAGACAATCCCCTCACAAAGGTACACTTGGAGACCTGCTTTTCAGGTGCCAAATTAGCATACTGGGTTAACCAAAATTAAAACAAAAACAAAAACTTTTATTTCAAACATTTTCTTGGTGTTTTATTTTGTGGATAGAACACACACAGCAGAAAAGAACTAAACACTAGTAAAAGGCAAAGAAACCAGAAATAGTGTTAAAAACAGAGGTATCAGGGGCTGGAGAAACTGCTTGGTTGGCAGGGGCACTAATCAGTCTTGCATAAGACCTAGGTTCAGTTCCCAGCAGCCACATGTTGACTCACAACCATTGTAACTCTAGTTCCAGAGGATCTGATGCATCTTCTGATCGCCTTGAGAACCAGACTGCACACACATACATGTAGGCAAAACACTCATATACATAAATAATCTTAACTCACAGTTTTGGATTTTGTGAATTTGTCTTCACATTTGATTGCTTCCTCTGGAGAAACTCTTCTTTTAGACAAATCAATATATCCTGTAAGAAATATTTAAAAATAAGGGGCTGGAGAGATGGTTCAGTGGTTAAAAGGACTGACAACTCTTTCAGAGGACCCACATGGCAGCTCACAAGTGTCTGCAATTCGAGTTTCAGAGGACCTGACACCCATGGCAAAACACCAATGCATATAAAATAAAAACTAATAAATTAAAAAAGGAAATATTTAAAAATAAAATTTATTTGTTCAAGTATAAGCACTGTTAGAAACAATTTCACGAGCAAATATCTGATTGAGAAGCTTATAATTATCCCCATCAAACTCATACTGACAAAATACTATTAAGTTTAGATGAAATTTCAGAAATATTTTTATCATAGGGTAGTTTATAGCCAGACAGTTGAGATTACCATGATTTGATTAAGAGGCCATTGTCGAAATCAGGTGTAGTGGCATATGCCTGTTAATTTTAGAACTCAGAAGGTAGAAGGTTTAAACCTAGCTCAGCTCAAGAAACCCTATCTCAAAACCAAACCAAGCAAACCAAAGATAGGTGATCTCCAATTAAAATGACATTGCCATCTTCTGTGTGACCGTTACATTCGGATGGCACCTTTAACTCCCACAAAACAATCTGCATAGTAGAATCTTTCCCAGATATGCTGGCCTTTTAACACAAAGAAACTAGGACTCAAAAAAGATGACAGAATCTGTCAAATATCTAGACTATGTACCCACCCACAATCTTATGCCTGGTTATAACAAAGAACAAAGGTCACAAGATCACAATACAAAATCCACACACAAAATTTCTTTTACCTTTTATTCTCTTAACAATATTTCCTAAACAACCTAAGTCTTTATTAACACTGAAGAAGTCCAAATTATCATTTTTTCTTCTCACAGATTACTTTTTAATGTTTTAATCTAAGAAATCGCAGCAAAAAACGTTATAAAGGTTTACTTCTTTGCTTTCTTCTAAAAGTGCTAGTTTCAAATTTGATGTACGTCTATGATTTTAAGTTATTTTTAAAGGAGTATTTATGAATCATGTTTGACATTTTTTAGCATATGGGTATTCAATTGCCCCAGCATTATTATTTTTTTAAATGATTTATTTATTTTTATGTGCATTGGTGTTTTGCCTATATGTATGTCTGTGTGAGGGGTTTGGAGCCCCTGGAAACAGAGTTACAGGAAGTTGTAAGCTGTCACATGAGTGTTGGAAATTGAACGTAGGTCCTCTAGAAGAACAGTCAGTGCTCTTAGCTGCTGAGCCATCTCTCCAGGCCCAGCATTACCTTTAAAAAGACAGTATTTCTACCACTCAGTTGCTTTTTTTAACCTTGTTGATAACTGAATATAAATAACATTATATATAATTGTCAAAACAAATTGCCCCTGCTTGCCTTTCCATACTTGAGTTAAAGGTGTATGTCACCATGCTTGGCTCCAATGCCCATATTTCTGTCTGAAGTGATTTAAGACTGTATATTTTATTAACATATTTATACCTATGATAAATGTCGTAAGTCAAACATAATAAAAGAGTAAAGAAAATTTACAGAACAGAATAATTTTAGTAATATGCTATAACAGAAGTACTTAAGTTTATTTTTTGAGTTAAGACAATTACTAGTGTTTTGGTATTGTAGGTAACTGAAATAGTTCAAATCAAAATTGCCAATAATACTATATTTACCGTATTTTTTTCCTCCCCTATGTTTTCTTATGGTACCAGAGATCAAACCTAGGATTTCGAGTTCATGTTAGAGAAACACTCTAAGCTATTCTCAGCCTAGACAAAGTCTTGCTACACTGCCAAGAACCCTGGAGTGACCCACTACTTCTATCTTCTGATTAGCTTCTAGTTTGTCCTCCCCGCCCCTTTTCTGTTTGTTTTTCCAGACAGGGTTTCTCTGTGTAGTCTTGGCTGTCCCAGAACTTGGTCTATAGACCAGACTGGCCTCGAACTCATGAGATCCACTAGTTTCTGCCTCCCAAGGTGTGCATCACTAACACCCTGTTTTTTTTTTCTTAGGCAGATTCTCTTTGTGTAGTCTTGACTGTCTTGGAACTAATTCTGTTGACCAGGCTGGCTAAGATCTGCCTATTTCTGCCTCCCGAGGACTAAAGACATGCACCACCTAAAATGTACCTGCATTCTCAATGTTCTTCTTATACTTGTGGTCTTAGTAAACTGAGTGAGAAAGGCTGAGGGCCAGCCAATTCTTAGAAAAGTTAGCAATGGGTTTACATTATATAAACTATCCAATCTGGAATATACATATCTTTACATAGTCTTCCAATATTGTAGTTAGCCCTTATCAAGTCAGGAGGAATTAGATAAATTATTGGCAACCTTTTTTATCCTAGCACCGTTCAGGATTATTCAAATTGGCCAGCGCTGTCAGTCACCCACCCTGCCAGAATTTAAGAGGACACTGGCAGGCACGCATGGTAGGTAGCTCATGTCTATAACCTCAATCTGGAGGCAGGATTGTGAATCTGAGGCCATAGTAGGCTAATACAAGACCTGCTTGCTCCCTGCCATCACTACCAAAAATAAAGCAAAATAACTATATTAGCTCACTCTATGGCTTTCTGGCATCTGTCTCAAAAACTAGGGCTTCCCCAAGTGGCCATTTGTTTCATGACATGCCTTCATTTTGGGGATCTTAAGAAAAAGGGAATAATAAAAAAAAGAGTATTTTGGGCTGGAGGGATGGCTCAGAGGTTAAGAGCACTGACTGCTCTTCCAGAGGTCTTGAGTTCAATTCCCAGCAACCACATGGTGGCTGACAACCATCTACAATTCAATCTGGTGTATATGTAATAAATAAATAAAATCTTTAAAAAAAAAAAGGGGAAGCATTTAAAAAAAAAGAGTATTTTAAAATTAAACACTTTTATTTCAAGCAACACAAGACTAGATAGAGTATTACTAGTTCCTTAATGTAATTCTATCTGGCAATAAATTCCTAGTTTTTTCCCACATAAAAATATCTTCATTTTGACTTTTGTTTGGTATTACTTATCACTGGATACACAATACTAACTTGACTTTTTTGTTCTTTCCAAGGCTTGGTAGAACTCTATATCTCTCTACTCCCTACATACTATGTACTGTTTGGGTGGGTGTGTTCATTCCCACAATGTTTTTGACATGCTTACATGTAGTTCAATTATCATTTATACTATAAGAACTTGTGTTTTTCCAGTCTGTAAACTCAAGGCTTGATTTTTAATAATTACAAGAAACTTTAGATTTTTGGGGGGTGTCTCACTATAACCCAGAGAGGCAGGCATTGTTTTTTGATTTTCTTCAAATACACTTTCTGCTTCTCTCCTCATCTACTGGCATAGTACTTTTGATATTGGATGGTTGCTGATGTTCTAGCTGTGTTCTTTTTCCCCAATATTTCCTGCCCTTTAGATTGGTTAATTTTCAGTGTTTACCAATGTTCTTTCATCTTCAATCTTTTAGCCTACCCCATGGATTTTTCATCTCTAGAATTACAGTAGTAATTTATAAGACTTTGTAATTTCTTTTTTAAGATTTCCTTTTGTTCATTCTTTAAAAGAATATTTTCCTAATGTGTTTGGGTAACAATCAGTTTAAAAACCCTTATCACCAAATTCAAACTTGGATTATCTCTGGGTCAGTCCTTATTAACTACCACTCCAAACTACTCCCTGACCACTGTTTTGTTTTTTCCTGCCTCCCATGTATACCAGTTTTGGATGTATTTTTCACATTAGGAATAGGCTCTGGATTACTATATATTACTTTTAAAAATATGAATTTTTTTTGGAAGTTGTTTCATCAGGAAAAATTAACTACCTGAACTTAAAGTGGACTCAAGTAGGAAACAACTTTCATCTTCAGATTTTTGGATGCTTAAAGGCTGTCTAACAATTCAGGTGTCACACAGACTGAGGCAGAATGGCAGAATTTATATAAAGACTAGGGACTCTCCTTTTGTGGACCTTTCTCTAATGCAGTACTTCTCAACCTTTCTAATGCTGCAACTCTATAATACAGTTCCTCATGTTGTGGTGACCCCTAACCGCAAAATTATTTTCATTGCTACTTTATTACTGTAATTTTGTTACTGTGATGAATCATCATAATGTGAACATCTGTGTTTTCTGATGATCTTAGGCAACCCCTGGGAAAGGGTCAGTTGATCTTAAAGGGGTCGTTACCCACAGGTTGAGAATTATTGCTCTGATCCTTTACCATTACTACTATTTTTCATTTGTTGTGGCTATTCAGGGCAGTTAGAATGTTTGTGTGGTCCCCCACAGATTCTGCAAAATCTTTCAGACAGTGCCGAATGCATAGTCATCTTCTTTTTTTTTTTTTTTTTCTTTTGGTTTTTTCGAGACAGGGTTTCTCTGTGGCTTTGGAGGCTGTCCTGGAATTCGCTCTGCATAGTCATCTTCTTTTTCACTCATCTTTTTCCTGGATTCCATGTAAGTCATGCTATACTATTACATAACTATTGGCTTTAGCACTCTCACTATAATTCATTAGGTATTAGTTTCATGTCAGCTAATTACTATTCAGGAGTGAACAACTGCATACCTATGATGATTAGACTATTGAGTTTGCTGGCACATTCTCAGCTTTAAGTCTTCACATCACTGTCCCAAAACAGTAGGACCCAAATACTGCCTTGTTTTACAATTCTTTATTACACAAAAGAATCAGGCATATTTTCAGATGCCATTAAGAAGGATATTTCAGAAAAATATAATAGATACATGTAAGATTATTTCTATAGCAGAACCTATTTGTACTGTGCCAATTTAAAACAAGAAGCAGTTAAAATGTACTTTGGTTAACTATGTTTGCATTTTTATATGAGATCTGATTGTTCTAATGTGGTTAAGAACTCCAGGGTAAGAATAAAAGCAAGGTACAAAAGAGCCTGTAGAGGAGTTTTGTTTCAATCTCATTCATTCATTCATTCATTCATCTATTCACTCATTTATTACATGTATGGGTCTTTTGCCTACATGTATGTCTGTGCACCACCTGCCTGCCCAGTACCCTCAGAAACTAGAACAGGGTATTGGATACCTAGGAACTGGAGTTACAGACAGTTGTGAGCAGTCATGGGTGTGTGGAAAATCAAACCCAGGTCCTTTGGAGTAGAAGCTAGTGCTCTTAACCACTAAACCATCTCTGCAGCCTAGGACACCTGAGTGTTTTGCTCCAATACAGGATTTCTCTGTAGCTCTGCTCTAGAACTCACTCTGCAGAGTAGGCTGACCTCAAACTCAGGGATCTGCATGCCTCTGCCTCTCGAGTGTTGGGATTAAAAGTGTTCATCACCATGTCCAACAAGGAGATCTGTTTTTAATATGAGAAAGGTAGTTCCCGTTGGAAAAGACCTTTACCAGCAGATAAACGCCAGGCATGCATAAAAATTAACTCTGTAACACAAAGTGAAATCAAAAGCTGTCCCAAACTGAAAGTCCACATTGGAAGAAAGGAACTGTGGTAGAACACTTCTCTGTTTTTGTGTCTTTTCCCAAAGTGCATACTGAAGATGCTTCAAGTAGGGCACCTAAGAGCCTTAAAAGCCCACCCCTGCAGAAACATCTGCCTTCTGCCTTTGTCCTATCCAGAGGTGGCAGCCCTCTCACCCCTTGATAAACCTGTGTACTGAGAATTTGCTGTCTGGGTGTGTTCTGAGCAGACTCTTCCGAGGGGCCTCCCCTTAGAAATACAGATAAGCTAACTACTACTCTAGGTTTCTATCTTTTGGTTATGAGTTAATTGCCAAAATCCTCAGAAATACTGAAGTTTCAAGTTATTTGGCCACAAAGCTAACTCTGGAATGTAGTTATTAAACAACAACAACTACTACTACTACTATAAAAGGTTCTTGCTTAGCTAGCTAAACAGTAAAATTTTAGACAAATGAAATGAGGTTCGTGCACATGCACATGTGGGTATGTTCATGTGGCTGCATGTGTGTATACACATGTATGCCGTATGCTGAGTCAAGGCTATAAAAGACTCTCAGGAGCTCTTTTGTTTGATTTTTTGAGATAGATCTCTGGATAGTTAGGAACTCACTTAGTAAGTTCATCTGACTAGTCTTGAATCCCCAGATTTCCCAACACCCCAGGATTGGGATTACCAACCTGCGCTGGCCTTTTTGTTTGGGTTCTGGGATTGAATTCACCCTCCTCCAGCTTGTGTAACAAGTACTTAATTGATTGGCTATCTTCTCAACTTCCAAAAGCTTTTTTTTTTTTTTTTTTTTTTTGGTTTTTCGAGACAGGGTTTCTCTGTATTGTCTTGGAGGCTATTCTGGGACTCGCTCTGCAGACCAGGCTGGCCTCGAACTCACAGAGATTCACCTGTCTCTGCCTCCCAAGTGCTGGGATTAAAGGCGTACGCCACCAATGCCCGGCTCCAAAAGCTTCTTTAACAACTTTATCCATAAAAGAATTTTAGTAGTTTAATGACAGTGTATTTTAAAATAAGTACCTTTAAACAGGTTTTTTTTTAAACAAGAAACTTCTGTAGTTTTATAATTTATATTTCTTAGCTATTTTTTCTCACTTACCTTTTTCTTTGTCCACTCTAATGACAACTACACATTCATTTCTGCCAATTCGGATCAGTTTGTTTATAGAACGGATACGTCTTCTGGATAATTCACTAAGAAGAATCATGCCTTCAATGTTATTGTATTCCAACAGACTGACATAAGCTCCCATCTCAGCAATGGATCTTACATTCACCATCACTACATCTTCCACCTCAGGGAATTTGTGTTGATAAAATCTACAACTTAGACCCGGCATTCTGTAATTTAAACAAACAAATATATAAATAGTTGAGCTAGGATAAAAATTATTTTGAAGACTCTGACAAAAGAACGAACACAACAAAGGAAAGTAAACATTAGTCTCAACTCTTTAAATGTCTTAAATGTCAGAAAATGGACAGATACCCAGGAACCAAGACTTAGTTTTTATTTGCTCCATAGTTTTGTAATGCTTAGGCAATCACTTTTAGAGGAACAATAAAAAAAAAAAAATAATGACTATCTATAAAGTACCATGAAACCTGAGGATTAAAGGAATGTCAAGAATAAAACACTATTTTAATATCACCACTTAAGTAGGGCATTGTAGTGCATACCTATAATCCCAAAGCTCCAAAGGTTCAGCCAAAAACAACTACAAGTTTGAAGACAGCCTGGGCTATATAGCTAGATGATATCTCAAAACAAAAGCAAAGCAAAAACAACTCCTAAAATATAATAAATCATTACCCAACATTTTAAGAAATATCATGTAATGGGAGGCATCGCTATAGCATGATTTTAACATTCTTAAGCTATTGTCTCCAAGTTGGCTCAGATGGAGTATGCTATCACACAGCATACAAAGGGATGACTACTCCTTAACCAATGTGGCAAATGATACAGCCAATCCTTTTTGTGATGCTGCAGACTGAGCTGAGATTCTATTTACACAACAAGCAATCCTTTCTTACTCGTCTCTCATGAGCTGCACCCCTAGTCGATTATCACTGCAGCCAAAATTGCAATATCGCAACCTAAAAATTTAAGGGGCTAGAGAGATGGCTCAGTGGTTGAGAGCACTGGATGCTCTTCCAGCAAATGGAGATTCAGTTTCTAGCACCCACAGGACTGCTCATAACCATCTGTAACTACAATTCAAGGGGATCTGATGCCCTCTTCTGGCCTCTGTAAGCACATAGTGCAGATATACATACAGGCAAAACACACACAAAATAAAAATGACTTCATTTTTTGGCCTGGTGGTGGTGGTACACACCTTAAAACCCAGCACTCAGGAGGCAGTGGCAGGTGGTTTGCTGTGAGTTCAAGGCCAGCCTAGTTACAGAGAGAGAGAGTTCAAGAACAGCCAAAACTACAGAGAAATGTTGTCTCTGGAAGAAAAAAAAAAGACTTCATTTTCGTTTTTTCCTTTTAAAACAAGTAATTTAATTCAGTCATTCTAATTTCTAACTTGCATTATTCTCCAACACTTTGAGACTCTAGGGTCTTGCCTATGCGAGGGAACTACTCCATCACAAGCTTTACCCAGTCCTATTTTAATTTTGTTTACAAATATGCCTAATCTTGAGGCATACTTTATGAATCTCCACAGCTCTAGAGTCTTTTAATCCCCATCCTTTAAAAATACCTAAAATTTTCTCTTTGATCCACCCAGTTTCCAGAACCATCTCTTTAGTGACCCATATGCTGAAAGTCATACCACAATTAGCACTATACTTTAAAAAGGAAGTCTTCAAACTGTAATTGTAGCTAAGGACTTTTATGTTTTCCTATTAATCATAACCTACTTACTGTGTCAGAGCCCAGAAGATAGGTAGTAAATAGCACCTAAAAGCCTAAGGAAATAATTGTGAAATTTCAGTAACTTACTTTCTTGTTAATCGGTATAGGGCCAAACCATGACAGGCTCAATAGATGGCCAAAGAGTAGGCCTGGGTCTCAGTTTACCCTAAAGCAATACTTGGTTCCAGGAAAGACCACAAACTGAGACCACCCAAGTAACATCCAGAAACAAAACATCCAAGGATGTTTATTCCAGCACACACCCACCCCCTTTCACCTATATATCCCTAGACAAACGTTAAGCCTGAACCTTAGAAATCCCCTCACCCCAACCTCTGCTTTGATAAAAACCCCACTCCAACTGGGCTCATGGCTCTCTGACCTCACCACTGTGTTGGATGAACATAGGGTCCAAGTTTGAGCTTGAATAAAGGTTCTTTGCTTATACTTATGAAATTCAGTCTCCTGATATGCAGTGACAGTCAAGATTTGAACCCATTAAATTTTGAGCAGGTTTGTGCTCTTAAAATCTGGACACATTATTAAGAAATATCACAACTAGAAACATCTAACACGAGCAAAAAGCAATACTGATATACGCATTCAGTGTTAGAAACATACATCACAATTAGGCCTAACTATTAGGACAGAACAACAGTACTGTTTAACCAAAAGCAACATGTGGCAGACTCATTTCTTTTTCAGCTCAACAAAACAGGGATTTAGTAAACAAAAGAAATCAGACACTCAGCTACAATTACCCATTTGGAAACAGTGCTTCTTTAAAGGGTAGGGGTGCAAATGTTCAAATACCTGTATACGGAGAACTTGACAACCAGACTTTCAATAAATAAATGTGGAACAATTTTAGGAGATTTAACAGCTGTTAATCCAATTTAATCAATAAATTTTCCCAAATAGTTAAGGTGATGCTTTGGCTTAATCTGCTGGTTAAGGATAGAAGCAACAGGGTAAAGGGACACAGAAGGGAGGTATAGCTACTACTTTGGCAGGCACACCCCCCCACCCTTTGCCCAAGATAAAGAATAAACAATAGAACACTGCTAATGGTATGTTACTTAGAGTAGAACATAGCCTGAAACTACAAAGGAATTCTTGTCACACTGGCTGACTGACTAAATCACTTTATGAAATGTTAGTAACGTTAAAAGACAATTTTTAAAAAGCCTATACTTATTCTGTCAATGAAACAGAAATCAATAATTTATTCAGTCCTTTTCATAATTTTCAAAGTATTCTGACTTTTTCCGTTTTTCCATTTAACCTGTTAAACATTTTTTAGGTGGTCACTAAATACAAAACAAACCAATACTGACACAAAAATTCTTCCCGAAGAAATTAAGTACTGGGGGACAACAAACTAGAAGGACTACAAGAGATCTTAGGAATTAAAAGGAACCAGAGAGCAGAAATGTTAAGTGACTTCAAGGACAAATACATAAGCACTGAAAATACAGGAATCAAACTCAAGATCGTTTTTCGTGGGGTTTTTTTCCCCCTGAGACAGGGTTTCTCTGTTTAACAGCCCGGGATGTCCTGGAACTTGATTTGTAGACCAGGATGGCCTCCAACTCATGAAGACCTACCTGCCAACTGCCTCTAATGGTGTGCTCCACCACGGCTGGCCAAACACAAGTCTTTTAACACGAATTCTGACGTGTCTTTTATCCATAAAGCCTCAACATAATATCACAGTATGACAATACGGTTAAGTGTTCTCCCTTACCGTTTTTTGACAGGTTTTCACTGTGTAGCCCTGGCTGGCCTCGAGCTTAGAGTGCCGGCCTCTGCATTCTGAGTGCTGGGATTGAAGCACCACGACACCCCTGAAACTCAAGATCCCACTTCTGCCTTTAAAGTAGTTGGGATTATAGGCACACACCACCACACTGGTTACTATGTTGTTCTGATGTAAAAAAACAAACAACAAAAACACGCTAGGTGGTGGTGGCAGCGGCAGCCTTTAGTGCCAGCACTCAGGAGTGCTGGGATTAAAGGCGTGCGCCACCCCTGCCCGGCTCAGGCGGATCGATCCTCTTTGACTTTGAGGCCAGCCTGGTTTCGAACGAGATCCAGGACAGGTTCCAAAACTATAGAGAAACCCCGTCTCGGGAGAAGAAAACCAAAAAACAAACAAACAAGACAAAAACCCACTTTTCAAAAGATATTGCCCAAAATCGAAGTTAAATTCAAATACTTTACGTTATCAGTATTTTGCCCCTGTTAACCGTAGGTGTGTCTTCTAGAACCAGTACAGTGTCACGTCACCATAGCGGATACTCCGAAGTAAAGCGAGCTGCGTTGGGAAAAGACTTGTGCAGCTCTGCAGTTTACCAGGACCACACCTCCCGAGAGTCAGCGCCGGTCATCTTGCGTCATAAGCAAGGAAAAAAGGCACTACAATTTCATGTAACTGACATTTCTGAGCAACAGTTGAGCTCCCTTCCCTTCCCCACAATAACTTAATGAGGAGAAAAACCAAGGCTTCGCGGATGAACCTTGAAGAAACAACGCTTCTTCCGTAATGAAAATGGAAGCACACTAAATTTGCCTTAATAATAGGCTTATTGCTTCCATAACTAAAAAGATGCCAGTTCTAATCTCGCAGTAGTAAAAAACAGGGCCAATAAGCCCGATATGGCATGGCCTTTCAATTCCAGGGGTGACTGCACGCTCCCGAAACCCCTAACCAGAACGAAAATTTAGCAATCTTCAACATTAATGGTCACATTATGGACTATCTTGAACCTGCTTTTTTTAAAGTTAAACATGGTGATCTATCCTACTGGTTCTTTGGCGAAGGCTTCAGTCTCCACAGTCAGAGGAAAGTTTTGGTAGTATCCTGGGGCGGAAAAGGCAGAGGAAAAAAACAAAGCCCAAACCCTCAGGCCGGGTCAAAGCAACGCGCCCGGGGGTCCCGAGCCGGGGCTGGGGTGTCGCAGCGTCCTCCCGAGGCCCCCCACCACAAGGTGTAGGAATCTAGCCGGCCACGTTCCTTCGCGGGCCCCTCCGCCCGAACACCCACGCCTGTGCTTCCCGGCACGGGACACCAGGCTGGCGAGAAGACCCAGGGAGTAACCACGGGCGGGGACGACGGGGTCCGGGCACTTCCCGCGCAGGGACGGGAAGCGGGGGGTCGACAGCCTGGGGCCTAGCCTCGCTCGACCCCCTCCTGTCTCGGGGCACAGCTGAAGTGAATTCCTGGGGAGAGCGAGGCGCGGCGCCAGTCACCTGCGGTGTATGTGTGAATCCCCAACTCGGGTCCCACGCCGCGCTCCTTAATGGCAACGAAGAGAGCAGCACCGGACGCCGAACCTCCTCAGCGTGCGCTTCGCTCGACCCAGCGCGCATGCGGCCCCACCTCTCACTGCGCAGGCGCCGACAGAAAAGGCCCTTCGCTGCCACTACCATAGAGTCTTGGTCCTCCAAATGCGAGCGGTGGGACCCACCGGACGACCGGAAAAGACCGTTTCCTCGGCACTTGGTAGACTTTTGCGGAGAGAACTCGGAAGGTTTAGAGAAGAGGTCAGATTCTGCCTTCTGCTCCGGAATGGTTACGTCTAAGTTTTAGTCAACCAACAGATGGCGCTGTGACGAAAGGCGGGAAGCCGAGGAAGAGGAGGGGCGTGATCTTCTGATTCGTCACTCAGGACATGCTGCAATCCGCACCGGCCGCCGGCCGGCGGGAGGGGCCGTGGGGGGACCCGGAATTCCGGGCTGTGCGCGCCTCCACATCCGGGCATTCCTCACGCCCAGCCGGCTCCGCCCTCTCCGTCCTCTCGCCGTAGGAACCGGAAGTAGGGGCCGGTGTTCTGCAGCCTCTTAGCAACGCGAGAGGGTCAAGTGACACCGTCAGCTGACTCCCGCGGTGGAGGGCGCTGTGGTAGCCGGTTCTGGCGGTGTTGCAGTCACGGTTGCCCGGCTGGGGGCCCGAGCCGAACAGTCACCGTCGGAATGTCGGGCAAAGACCGGATTGAAATCTTCCCTTCGCGAATGTAAGTGGGGGAATGGGACACCTTCCCGGAGCGCATCCCCGCGCACCCTCCGCCACCAGCGAGCTGCCTTGTTGTGGGCCGCTCCTTCTGCGAGAGCAGACGGGGCAAAGCGGTTCCAGTCCAAACGAAAGGCTCTTCTGAAGGTCTGATGTCTTCCCTCACTTTCCCCACACACCCTCTCTCTCTGAGCCACACACAGTTTACATAACCGTCCCCGTCGCTGCCGCACGGGGCTCATCGGTGCTGAGGGGTGAGATGGAGACGCTAAGGTGGGTTTGACCAAAGCTGTCAGGCGGAAGTTAAGCGGTGGGAAGCGTCCAGACAGCCCCTAAGCCAAAGTGGCATTGTAGGAGGCGACCTAGCACAGCCGTCGGTTTTAATCTTGGATGCCGTCCAGTGTCACCCGCCGTGGGAAGGCACACCTGCGCCTCCGAAGCTCCCCTCCAGCCCCGTGATAACCGTATTCTTTTCTGCCTCTAGCAGTGCCACTCATGACGTTGTCACGCGGGTGTTTGTTTGGCGGGATCCTCTCGCCCACCGATCGATGGGCTGTCTCCTGGAGGAGGGGGGGCATCTTTAAATGCATAGGAGGTCCACAGAAATGTTCCTTGAGCCCCCGCCTTGGGATCGGCTCAGATGCAGGCTGCCTTTCTGTTTTGGCCTGACAGCTTTGTCAGGGGAAATGATGTTTGTAAAGGAGATTTTGAAGTTTTCTCAAATATGCATAATAGCTTGTAGAGTGTTCTTATTTGTGTTCTCTTGTTTCTGAAGAAGGAAATCAGTGTTTACTCTGATATGTAGGTCTTTTCATTGAGGTTCTGTATTGGGGTGTGTGGGGTGTGTGTGTGATACTGTATCGTTTTCCTTAGCCTATCTTTTTTCTTTTCTCTTCGAAGACTAAGAGGACTCTGGTTATATGTAAACCCAAGACTGAATTTCTGTCTCTGCCAGGGTGTGTGTAGTTCTGAATGAGTGAAAGAGTTTTAATTTTTTAAATCTTTTTAACCTTCACCTTACAGACTTTGAAATGGCCTGTGAAACAGATAAAGATCCAGACTTCCCTAGGGTGATCTCAAAACTCAACATGTAATGTAAACTTTACTGAGACACCAACATGGCTTCTAGAAGCCAGTGGCTAGCATATACAAGGTCCTGGGTTGAATCCTCCAAGTCATCAAAAGTAAAAATAACCATGCCTGCCTGAAGCAAACAAAACTCAAAGCTCACAGAAGTAAATACTTGTTTCAGCTAACACCTCATCCTAGACCCTCTTCCACAGAACATGTATTAAAAAGGTTTTTTTCCCCAGTTGGATATATATTTTGTCTAACTCATATGTCAGGGACCTAAGAGAGCCCTTCTTTGAAAGGCAGTGGACCAGACGGCTGGCATCTCTGTGTCTCTGTGGGAGGCTAGAATCCCAACTTGTCTAATTGTCAACCGGCAGACACTGCTGACCCAGCCACCGGTGACCTCACCTATCTTAGTGATTTTCGTTTTTCATCCTCTTTAAAACACCCAGGCACGTCTATGTGAACCAGAATGGAGCTCGATTTTTTTTTAATTTTAATTTAATTTTTTGCCTTGCTGTCAGTGGTCTCACTATTTCAAATAATGTCTGGCCATGTTTAATTACTATTCATAATGCTGCTAAGTTTTCATTTTTACTTTGGACCTTTTAATTTAGGACTAGGAGGCGTAAAAGGGGCTTATTTGGGCTTAGGCAAGGAAAATGATAGGTGTGTGAGGGTGAGAACTGTTATTTGAGAGCACTCAGCTGGTCTAGAGGAAGTCGGGTGTAGGAAATAAACATTTTTCCCACAGCTTGACGGCACGTTCTTTGTCATACAGTCAGGTGTCTTTGATTCACAGGGGACAAAGTCACTGTTTTAGCTGAAGGTCAGGCTTCTTGGTTTTTTGTTCTTCTACGGCTGAGCAGCTCTGAAACAGAATGGAACAGGGTTAACATGGTCTAGGGCACACAGTACCAGTTGTGACCCCATTTGCACACTAGGTGCTGTTGTTGTCCTGGAATGTTGCCTTCATTCAGGTATCACCAGAGAAAATGAAACAAATTGAGGTGGAAGCGAAAGAGACCCAAAAGGGCCTACGGGACGTGGCTCTGATGGTAGAGACTCGACCAAAATGCAGTGTCCTGGCTTTCAGTCACCACTACCACGTAAAACTGGGGGCGGTGGTGTGGTCCTGAAGCCCAGCAGTCAAGAAGCAGAGTCAGGGTCAGGGGTTCAAAACCAGCCTGGGATAAATAGGACCCTAGCTCAAGCTGGAAAAAAAAGGCACAAAAACTTAGATTTACTAGAAGTCAGGTAAAGTTCAGGTTCTTGTGAATGTTCAGACAAGTCACCCTTTTTTCTTTTCTCTTCTTCCCTATCTTTCTCTTTTTAAATTTTTTTGTGGGATAGCCTCATGTATCACGGGCTGGCCTCTAATTCATATGTTTCCCAGGCTGACCTTCAACTTCCAGTCTTCTTGGCTCTGCCCCAAGTGCTGGGATTACAGGCATTCACCACTTCATATTCAGCTCCAGTTGCTCTTGAAGCTCAGTAACTGAAAACTTCCTGTTCATCAAGAGTGAACTCAAGTTTTTATCAGTCAGTTCATCTGTGAGCTCCAAATTTGTAGGTATCCGTAGTGTTACAATCGGCCTAAATCTTACCCAACTTCCTCTCCCCACTCCGTGTGCGTGCAGGTATGTGGGTGCATGTGTCTGTGGAGGTCAGAGCAGGGGTCTAGTGTCTTCTGGTGCTTTCCCCACTTTGCACTGAGACAGTCTCCCTGGAAAGCTTGTGGTTTGGGCTAGACTGGCTAATCAGGGAGCTCTGAGGATCTGTCTGTCTCTGCCTACCAGTGCTGGGGCTATGGGCACATGCCCGGCTGTCTACCTGGGTACTGGGTCCTTATGCTGAAGAGCATGTGTTCTTACACACTGACTCATCTTTCCAGTCAGTCCCTCACCCAATCTTTTGAATCTCACTCAGTTCTGGTATTTAGTGTCAACAGTGCAGAATGTTGAGTGTACACATTGGTGTGGATGACTCTTGTTCATGCTGGAAACTGAAGCAGCTTCACTAGATTAGACCTCCGGTGAGGCCAGTCTCTGCAGTCATCCACTGATAACTACCTTTCAGATGGAGAACTGTTGCGGTACTGCACTTTAGCTTCTTTCAGGGGAGGCAGTGTGGAATGGGGGTCTGGTGAACTGAGGTTGGAGCCGTCGTTTGAGTCAGGCAGGTTCTGGAATCAAATCTAGTTCAGATTCCTGCCTGCCTGTTCTTCAGTCAATAACTGGGGAAGTTGCTCTACTTTTCTGAGTCCCATTTTCCTAAAGTTA